TATAGAGCACATTTGGACACATTAATAAGTAATTACTAAGAGAAAATATGAATATAGAAAAAAAAATCAATTGATGAATACGAATCAAATGATTGGAAAATAATATTTTCATTGCTACCATCATCAAATTGTTAAAATATAGACTTGTTCCTCTTTTGAACTGATGAAGAAAAATGAGAATCAAGAATTTTTCTTTTATTGATTCCTATGAATCAACACTCTGAGCAATAGCGTACACTGTTCACAAGTTGTAATTAAAATTAGTATTCTTTGATTTCTGCATCCTTCTGAATAGATTATCTGCTCTGATTGTACACTAATTATTATATACTAGAAATCAGTGCGGTAGTTGAAAACAGTCTCGTTACCGCCTCATCTCGTCAAGGATGTAGTGTAAAAACAGATACCTTTCTATGCATTTTTTCAATCTTATACAACAATTACTATTTTTTTCATTTTATAAAATCGAATAAAGTGCAGCATGCTCAAATATTTATTGACGAAAAAGAAAAATTTATATCTGCAAGGATAGTTCAAAGTTTTTATTCAATAATATAAAGTTTTCAAATTCTGTTACAAAGTAGCATTTCCAGATTCAATACAAGATAACAGTCCTTTTTTTTCGAGATGCAAAACACCAATATATATGATTGCGTCTTGAATTGCTTCTAGTTTGTTTCCTTATTGTGGACTTCTTGCCATCTAGGTATATTGCTCTTCCTTTATGAACATTTTTTCCTTACCAAAAACTGATGAAAAGTAAACTAAGTGAATAAATTCGATTTTAAGGTTTTCAAACCAACTAGATTTGAGATTAATGCGTCTAGTTTGTTAAAAATGTCCAACAAATATTTATAAAGAATGAGAAATGAGTTTGGATGACAAGTATATAAGATAAAGAAGTGGAGAATTGCTATAAATCTACATCTGAACCCCATCAACCCCCTCGTGTTATGTACCAAACTAGAGTGAATAGTTTAATAGTTCAACAATATGTTTTCGATGTGACAGATGATTTCATGCTAACTATACGTTGTTGGTACGATGGTCGAAACGGTGTACCATTCTGAAATACCAAGTAGTTTGTTTCAGTATTATTCATATAGATTTATTGATACCTTCTCAATGACACGTGGAATTGTAAACAAGAAATATTCTTGATTTTTAATCAGTTTATTATTTTATAAATATTTGTGCGATCAAATTGATGTCTTCACTGTTTATTTACTATAATAGTATGCCGATGCATATATGTTATGTATAAATGAGAAGACTATAACTTCTTTTTCTCCATTTATAATGCTTTAAGAAAGATTTTTAGTACAGATGTGTATTAGATCGTAACAAAGTTTTGTATGATCCCAATAAAAGATTCAGTGCTAAAGTTCTTTCGTGTAGCAAATGATTTCTACTAATATAGCTATTTTATTATCAAAATGTGTTGTGTGAGCCAACGATACATCCTTCTAGTCACTTTGCAAGTGTATTAATTGATACCTATATATGGAAAAATTGAAAACTCCAAATATACAAAAAAAAACAATAGTGTTGTTCCCAGAATCAATTTTCTTAGAGAAAAATTGAAGTTTTCTCTCTTTTTCTTCGAGATGCTTTAACCGATTGAGTTGACATTTTTCTCATAACAACTAGAACTAAAGCAAGATATATTCATATGCTATTATCTTGTAATAAAATACAACATATTGATGATTTAGTATCGTTATTTTGTTTGTTGTTTACTGTCAGAATGTATTGAAATTGCCTATTTTTCATGAATAACATCAGTAAAACGTATAAATAGTTTATTGTCTTCGACTGAATCATGAGATCTTCTAAATAAAGTTTTATAACTTTCACGTTCTATTTTATTATGGAAAATTTTTATATCAGTAAATAGTATGAAAAATTTTGGCAATAGTATCGAGCATGAAAACTATGTAGGCAAAAAGTAATGGGAATGCACTCGATTAAATTGATAGAATTGAATACTTTTCTTTTCTTCATATGAACTTTTATTTATTTTTTTACAACAAAACATTGAATAATCAGAAAACTAATCCGTTTCATCATGTTCTAGTAGTAGTTCGTCTTCGCACATCAAACTATCATCGTGGTCGTCAATAGAAGGCCATAGAAGACAAGAAATCAGGAAAGTGCATAGTATGAGACTTTCTACTATGATTGTTGAACCGATCACTAACGTAGCAAGGATAAACCCATTGCGAACAGAAGTTATATCTGGTTTGTGTTTTAGTGGTCGTCGTCTAGTATCGGTCGGATCAATAAAGCATGAGTATGTACTATTTATCTATAGAGATGAAAAAAAACGGAGATTAAAATGAAACGAATGATATTGATATGTCTATATTCACCACATTTGGTTGAAGCAGTACAGGTACCGACCATTCTTCAAATTGTTGCTTTATGCTGCTTCCATTTAAATTGACTTCGAAAGAAATGAGAAACGAACTATTGATAATGATTAATGAGGAACTTTCATCTTCTTGAGGACGTGAGATAACTTCGTCGATATGACAGATCGTTTTCATAGAGAACTTATTTATATCATTTGCATACTGATAATACTTCGAATACGTTGTCGTTATGCTGTCGACGAAAATGAATAGAACCATACAGATATATGCTGCGCATACAACATAAGTAATTATTCGCCGTATCATATCTAATAGGTTATGTGTAGACTAAGTATGTTTGACGATGTTTTCTGTTTTTAAATGAAAATGAAAGGAAAAACGGATAGAAATCAAGCGAGACGTCCAATTCGTTCGTGTTCAACATATACATATTAGCCATTTATTTTAGCAGAAACAAGAACGGCGTGAGAAGCTGAATATTTTTTGACCTTAGGCAGCTCGTAGCATATCTGTTGTCTTAGAAGTCATCATATAGAGCGAGGTCATTGTCTAAAAAATATCTCAAAATGGTTTTCTTATTGGTGCGACCAAAATCATCTAAAGAGGTCAACATGTATAACTTTATTCAACGAGGAAACAGTGGCTCGTCATTCTCGTCATATAATAGCATGGGATCAGTCACAGTTTCATTCATGCCAACAATCAATTAACAAATATTTATCATTTTATATTCCTGGTCAATATCTATTGCTTAAGTTTATGTAAACTACTTTTTTCATCAATAAATGATCATGATGTTTCTAGTTGTTTCATATTAATTGCTACTCTTGCGACTAATTTCAAGTGCAGCATATGCACTTATTCATTGTACTCCATTTTCTAGAGAAAAAACAAAGAGTTATAGGCAATTGAAAGTAACAGAACGGATGCTCCCCCTGCATGATCTATAGAACACGAAATACCATCGATTTATGAAAACAGTTAAGTGGTGTATATTGAAATATATCTCTGGATTTTATGAAAAAAAGACTGTGTAGTTCTTTTATGGCTACAGTCAGTGTTGAAAATCTTTCTTATCAAACAATGCCCTGAATAAAACATACTCAACAATTTGAAACAATTAACTAGATCAATTCTCAAAAACATGAGTCTAACTTCATTAGAATTAGAATTTAATTTAAAAGTTCATGACAATCGTCGATGATGTTTTAAAAAACAGAAAATAATATACGATTAATGAAATGATTAACATATCTTTCTAAGAAATTCGAGATTCATTATTCTAACAATATATAACCATTGAAAGGAATCCTTATGAATTCATATTTTTATTCGTGATTGTGTGGAAAAAAATAGACTGACATATGTAAAAAAAACAAACAGTACTAAAAAAGTTTCTGAAATTCTTGTTTTCGATAGATGTTGGCTGTGGCTGTGGGTCTGAGTGCGGTTACCTTCCCCTAATCCGCACTCACACAAAATAGTTGTTTATTTTTTACTACTTTGACAGTATTTCTGATGATTCAAAAGCAATGTGTTACGAACAAAATGCTGTACTCTTTCCAAATGTGGGCTTATGGAATTTTTTTTCAAATTTCTAATAAAAGGGTGTGTATGTAGGGTATGAATGTGAAGAAGACTCGCACGCAAAACCCCTACAATCAAATGAATTTCAACATCTTCGCATTTGTATCGAGATTAAGCAAGCATGCTCGGTTTAGTTCATACCCGTATGCATCGCCTAAAATCACATGTGAGACTAAATAATTGATAGAGATTGAAATTAAATAAGATGCAACAATAATCATTTGTAGAGTAGTCATATAGTAGATCAAAAGAATAAAATTTATATTAAAAAACATAATTCAATATTGATAAGAATCAATGTTAAAAGTTTTGGATATTTTATTATTGCACTTCATTTACTTGAGAGTAGGCAGGATGTAGGTGAAAATTCTAGTATCTTCTTCTTTCTCACCATCACTCATTCACAGACTCACCTACGCTATTTGAATTATAAGTTATGATCGAAATACAATTTTTTTTCTGCCGTAGCTATAGAATAGTGCTGTTCAAACTATGATTTATAATTGAAATTTTTTTTTTCTGTCGCAGTTATAAGACAGCCCTGTTCGAATTATAATTTATATTCGAAATTAATTTTTTTCTTTTGCTATAGGCAAATGCTGACTTGATTTTTTTTTATAAATTTTCGAAGTCATTTTATGCAGTTTCACCTACACTTATATTCGAATTGGAATAAGACAACTCATGACTTTTTTTAACTAATTCTTTCATCACAAATAATAAAAATCACTTGTGTTAGAATGCCCTCTCAACATTTCCAAATGAGTGAATGGTCGACAATAAAAACTTCTGCATCTCATCGTCAAGATTCTTTGAAAAGACCAAACGCGAACAACATCGTTTCAAATAACACTTGCATTAACATTGTTAATCAACATCATTCCAATGGTCAAAACAACGGAAGGTAAGAAGAAAATAACAATCGATTGAGTTTCAATAAACATCACATTCCTATGCTTTTAGATGGATATTATGCAGCAAACTATCAGGATACTGTCCATCATTATCACCATTTTTTTATGGTCTATTATTGGGTGTACTCACAGTTTGTTTAATATTTTCTGTTGTAATTTCACTTTGGTTAACATCATCTAAGGACTCATCGACAACAGTCGGTAAATACACGAATTTTTCTCTAAACATTTCTATGAATTTTATTTACTTATCGTATATTCGATATTTAATTAAGGCGAAGGCTATGAGAGCATAGCAGATGTCACAGATATTCAGTCTTATTGATAGTGAAATTCCCTTTTTCACCTTTAAATCCATCGTGAGTACTAGAAGAGTACACTTAAGGTTTTTCGATGTTTTCAAGGGGCATATTCTTTTTTCTGATCAAAGAATTTTAAAATAGTTATTGAAGTATCTTAGTGAAACGAGAAATCTGCATCGGATAAATTGAAATTGCAATTCAAATATTTAAAGCTTCTCTTTCACAGGAAAAGAAACGAAACCTTGTAATTTTCTATTTCGTTATTTTCTGCTGCAGCAGGCATACAGACTGTATTTCAATTTTGTTTAATTAGAGCCTATAAAGAAAGCGTCAAAGCTCTTCAACAAAATGTGATGTCTACTCTTCTTTACATTCAATTTAAAAATTCTCACTCTCCAGAGTCATCTAGATGATGCGAAGAGGAATTTAAAAAAAAATTCGGATCTTTTCTAACAATAATGCATGGAAACCATTTTATTTTGTGAATTCTTGAACAGTATGATACTTTACGACTAGATATACAAATCTATGTCATGTTGAAATAACTACTAAAGTATACATACCACAAATAATGCATAAAAAGTATCTCTCAGATTATCAGTTTCTCTTAGAGAGAAGAATAAGTCCTCACGATTTATCAACAGAGAAATATAAAAACTACCATATATTTCTACAATATGAATGAAAGATAACGTTCTCTTTATAATAATCTTTGTGTCTATTGTATTATTTCCCTATCTAAGGCTTCTATAAAGTAGTTGCCAGAGTAATATGCATCGAATTCAAACTTTAATATTATTCGTACTTTATTTTAGAAACTCTAATCTCTCTGAAAAGGAAAAATTATGTTAGAACTTAGTTTTTTTCGAATTTACTTAGTTAACAAAAATAGATAAAAACTTTTATTATTAAAACTTCGAATAAATTTATCTTGAGTTCAGTTATTATTATTATTGTTATAGTGGCCACTGCAATAGCTAATAAGGTGGAAATCGTCTTCTTTACTAAAAAAACCTAGATTAACATTGCAAACTTATATTACTGTAGAAAACCTATTGACATTTTCGGAAGTCTAACAGTATTTTAAAAAACTGATATTATAGTAAACATTGATTTAGAATTCGAAGCAGTTTTCGAAGCAATTTATCCGAAACGCAAAGAGTTTCCGAACTTCCCGAATTTTGAACAAGTGTACCGGGAAATCTTAATTGGTATCTGAATAGTTTTCAAAACCTTTGAAGGTATCCAAGTTTCAATAAGCCCTAAAGCTATTGCCATAAAAAGTCGTAGAACAAAGTTTGATCATAAGTTTTCGAGATCGAAGAATTCAAATCTGTAAGTAGTTTGCCATGAAAAAAATCAACGTGAAGATTTTCAGAAACAGTTTTTTAAATCAGATTCATGGGCCCTAAAACGTTTTGGTCAAACTTGATAAAAAATCATTATTTTCGTAAAAAAGGCTTTGCCTGACGAGAAAATTGAATTCAAAATTTTAAGAAATCACTTATAGTATTTGTCCAAAAAGTGACTTCAATTGTCTACCAATAGACAATTACTGTTCAGCAATTCACACAAAAAGTACTTTAAAGATATAATTGCCGAATTTTGCTTGGGACCAATGTACAAGGCAGTCTCCTGCATACATATTTGGCTACAACTTGGGACTAGTGGTTCTTGTGCCTGTTTTTGAATTCTGAGATGCGACATAGAATAAGGTTGCCAATCCAATTCCGGCAACGAAGTAAGATTCCAAACTAAAATATACTATGCCAGTGTAAGTAATGAAAACTACTTTTTTTCTTACAAGTATTCTTATGATCACTCGAATAGTTTCACTCATTACTACTTTATGTAATGGAGCCTAAAGCTCTTGATAGAAATATTCTTTTGGATCACAAATTTCATAGCAGCAGTTATAAGGTTTCCGAGATTTCGAAAATCCCTGTTTAGAAACCCTTAAAGAGTATTCGATTTTGTTACTACCTGAAATCTTTCAATAGTTTTCAAGAATACCCTTTTTTTTAGAAATTACTACATCTACTATACCAGCTATTACAAGTAAGATCATCTTCTTTTCTTTATTTTTAAAATCATTTTTATTTTTTAATAGCGACACAAAACCCTTATGCATGTGGTAACATGACTTATCGTGTTGGATACGATATATATGGTGGTGATATTACTTCGAATACCGTTGCTAACTACACTCTTTGCTGTTCATGGTGTCAATCTTACAGTGGTTGTGTTGCGTATACATGGGTGCTGCCGCCATCAGGAGGGACTTCTTCAACTTGTTACTTGAAAAGTACTGTCTCTGCCCCTAGTGTCAATTCCGGTGTTGCCAGTGCATATTATTAATTCATTCTTCACTCATCTTAAATGATATAAGAAAAAAAACACTTCATACTTCCTAGGGTGTGGGTGTGAGTGAGTAAAAAGATTATCGCACTCTCATCCGTGCCTGACACCCACACACTTTACAAAAATGACTGAAAAGCAATGGAATACTACCAATACGAGTGGCCACCATCAACACAGTTTCAAAATGAGATTCGATTTAAAAGTGTATTTATATCCTATTTTCAAAATTGAATTTGTAAAAATGAGTTGCAAAAGCAGAAGAAAAAAATGACCAAAGATTAAGAATAAGGCATATTTTTTCAAAAAACGGCTTCTTATCGGTTTCTGGCTTTTTCCAACGTGAAAACACTATTTACAAAAATTACAAACCAGTTTTTCTTACTTGGCAGCTCGAGATCTATCGAAGCATGTTTAACAAAAGGAAAAACCTTACTTGTATTTCGCTCTGCGTGCTCCTTAAAAACTCTGCGTATACTTGCAATATGTTCTTGTTATCCTCAAATTTTGCTTAGGAACACGCAGATTCTTTTATAAATATTCAATTCTTGTCTGTAAATGCAGAGCAATCATACATACGCAGACATGCGTGTTACAGCTGCATGCATGCTAACATAAGTTTGAAAGTAAATTTTATGTAGTTTGTGTACGCACACGCGCTTTACCGTCTTTACCATATATACATTTATGTGTGAACATTTCACTGTTTGAACAAGTATTTTGAGTGTGATGCAATGCTGGTGGTTATAACAGTTATCTTCATTTTGTTAGTTTATTAGAGATAACGGTTCTATTATATTATGGTGGTTTGACAAGATAAGGAAAACGAAAAAGAAGATAGAATAGTTGTTGCTGTTATAAACATAAGCTAGTTTTTCATTATAATCATGCCCATTATGCAAAAACAAAGTTTGTTCGTTTCGAAAAAAAAAACTCCAAAAGACCATTGTGACATGCATAAGTTTTCTTACGAACTGAGAATTTAAGATTTTTTCAATAACAACAGGTTGAATAAGAAATAAAACTTTTTCACTTTTATCATGAACGATCATTAAAACACGTTACGTGTCTAATTATCCATCTTGGATTTGAAGTGTAGGTGTGGATGGGTGGTCGCTATGGGTGTGACGCTTGTCTTGTATTTACACACACTCACGTCCTCTTGTAATATTACTGTAGATAGTAGCTAACGATGGATAATCAGATGAGAGAAAGATTTTTATCCGGCTTCAAGTATTTTTGGCAAAAAAACGAAAATGTAATAGTGTATTCTTTTAAATGAACCAATACTTTAGCCATATTGGTGTAAACAATGATAACATAAATGCAGTCTGCTGAGAGAAAAAAAATTTCGATTATCTGTATTAATTCCGTGCTTTGCATTGTATTATAAGCTGGTCTATATCTTGGTTAAAGTCAATAACAATGACTGACTTTCTATTCTCAAACTGGCAAAAGGTGTGAACCTTGTACTGGCACGTGACGAACAATGATAATAGTGAAGTGACATTCTTATCAAGTAACACTCTTCTTCTCCGTTCGCTACTCTGACATTCGAACGTTCGACAGTACTATGTAGGTCGATGATCCCATGCGTGAGTGGAAAATGTTAATTGAGGATGAGAAAGTACACCATCGATCAGATCAATTCTATTCTTTTTATCTGTGGATCGATTTCACATTTCGCTTAGTCAACATTCTTCAGCTATATCAGGATGATCCCTTTATCTTCATGTTGAACTTGAATAATCTTATTCAGATAAGCACAATAAATCATGCTGCAATTGATTCTCAAATCGCGAATAAGATTTCCGCGATTATCTGTACAACCGATTCGTGTCAGTTTTAAGAACGCTCACGCTTCTAAAACACGCATTCAACGATTGTATGATGATGGAATCGATTTGAAACAACAATCCGTTGAAATCAACGCACTCGAACGTATTCGTCGATGTACATTCTACAAAGATGTGGATATTTGGACATTTTACAAGACACTTTGTCCAAATGTTCGAACACTCGGCGATGTTTTAGAAGAAGGTTGTGTTGCTTCAAAAGATGGTCCATGTCTTGGTCATCTTCAATCATCAGGCAGTGTTAAGTCAGTGGAATGGTTGTCTTATTCGATGGTAATCGAACGAAGTTGCTACATTGGTTCACATCTGTGGTCTACGGTCAAACTCACTCCGATGCAGTCAAAAGTGGCCATCATTTCATCCAATCGAGCTGAATATCTATTGGTCGAGCATGGCTGTTATATGTATGGATTTATCGTTGTTGGTCTCTATACAAGCTATGACACCGCGACCATTTTGAACGTACTTCAACGGACTCAAACGGAAGTACTTGTTGTCGATAGTTTAGAACGGATTCAATCGTTTGAAAAGGAGTTGTTGAACAATGATCAAATCAAAGAGATTCTTATCATGGACGAGATCAGTTGTGACAACAATAGCAAAATTCGAAGTATTCCATCGATTTTAAAGACAATGAAAGCTAATGATCTATGTCCACGACCAACAATTGATCCACATAGTATTGCGACATTCATTATGACTAGTGGAACAACAGGTAAGACAAAGAAAGATGGCTAATGTAGAACTTCGTCTTCTACAATATTTTGCCTACATTTTGATTGATGCGTGAAATCAACAATTTTCATTAATTGTCCTGCGCTTGCTGCAAAACTTATTTCGAGTATCATAACTCGATGACGGTTTGATGAGATAGAACACACTCAAAAGTGATTGAATTTGTAGATAAACACTGTTTTTATAATGAGACACCCATTGAAAAACAACAACGATGATTTGGTTTCTAGCAGCAAGGGACTTTATTGACTAAATCAGCAAAATGTTTCTGCATGTTTCTAAAATTCTAAAAGTACTAACATTGAAAACATATTTTGGTCAAAAGAGACGAACAATGATTTTTTGTTTTAGGCGACCCAAAAATTGCGATGGTGTCGCATGATAATCTTTTGGCGACAGCTAAAGGAAATATAATGCGTCTTGAACAAGCAAATATCAAGCAGCCACTTACTCTTCGACATTGTTCATTTTTACCCATGACTCATATCTACGAACGATTTATACTGTTGGGAGCTTTTCTACGTGGCACTCAAGTTGTCTTTTGTCCAGCACCTGAACAACTCGTCAACTACTTTGCAATTGTAAAACCAACTCAAGTTTCTGTTGTACCCCGAGTTCTCAACAAAGTCTACGATATGGTCATGGCTGAAGTTAACAAGAGTAAAGTCAAACGGTTTCTTGTTCAACAAGCATTGGATAGTGAAGAATCGTGGTTTCTATCACGCTTGGTCTTTCGTCGAGTCAAAAAACTCTTTGGTGGAGAAGTTCAGGCAATGATCACTGCAGCATCGCCCATTACATCAGACGTCATGCATTTCTTTCGAATAGCACTCGACATTCCAATTATGGAAGGCTATGGACAAACTGAATCAGCAGGTGCTGGAACAAGCACTCATCCTGTTGATATCTCATATGGCACTGTTGGTTCGCCTTTACCTACTGTCGAGATTAAACTTATTGATGTTCCAGGCACCAATTATCGAAGTGAAATCAATCAAGGAGAAGTATGTATTCGAGGACCAAATATTTTCAAAGGTAAACCGCGCTTAACAATCGCTGTTATTATACTTGATTCTTTTCCATAGGCTACTACAGTGATGAAACAAAGACACGTGAGATAATTGACAAAGACGGTTGGTTACACACAGGCGATGTTGGAGAATGGACAAACAATGGAGCATTGCGTATTATTGATCGTACAAAACATATTTTTAAATTAAGCAATGGGAAGTACATTGCACCAGAACGTCTCGAAGATGTTTATATTCGATCTCGATGGGTAGCACAAATCTTTGTCGATGGAGTTTCAAGTCAATCAACTGTTGTAGCTGTTGTTATTCCAGACGAAGAATATGTTAGAAATAATTTTGAATCGACAGGAACATTTGTCGATGTATGCAACAAGAACAAACTCAAACAAATCATCTTGACCGATTTGATTCGATTAGCCAAAGAGTATCAACTCAAACCTTATGAAACGGTTAGCAATATTCATATTCATCACGAATTATTTTCACAAGCGAACGAATTGCTTACTGTGACACTTAAAACACGACGAGCAAATGCAAGAAAAAAATTTCAAACGATTATCAACTCACTATATCATGAGGATCAAATGGCGACTAACAATCCAATGTAGAAGTTCAATTCTGTACTTATGTCTTGCAATTGTCATTATACTTTCCTCTTTGATTCTAATGTCTTATAGTTTCAAAAAAGTTATTGTTCTTCATCATGCAGATCCAATCAGACTATGATTAGATTTAATTTACCGTTAATAAACAGAGCACACTCATTTTTTGAGGATGGGATGAGTCGAGCTGGATGGGTGTAGATGTAAATCTTCTCTTCTACGTAGCATACATCGACACCCCATTATCATCGTATTCCGATGCAACATGATTGATCAGTAAATAATTATTCGTCGCTTAGCGGATTCCTAACGTATACCCTGCCTTTGCTCATTTTCTCAGAGTGATGAAACATATTGTTTGGACAGCAGAAGTCATTTACAACCACCAATGGAGTGTGGAATGTGGCTGTGGGTATGAGCATGGATGGTGTGGGCGTAGGTTTCTCAATAGGTGTGTGACACTCAGATGAAAAGAAGACTCATAATCACACCCATTTGAAGTGAAAGGCATTGCTACTGCTATTGATAGAGCTTCACATGAAGGTTCTACACTAGATAAATATAAATCCCAATGCATCTTTTTCTTCTACTGTTTTCTTCGCCTCTTTGTAAGCTAATGAAATATGAGTATTTCAATTATGGGAATATGTTTATTCTGATCGAGTTGAAATTGAAACACCAATAAATTCAGTACATACACAAACATCTATGGAAATACGTTTAATTAAACAAACATCACGTAAAACTTGGTCATAATTATATAGCTTTGGTTCATTACCAACAACACTACAACGTGATAATCAAATCACTGACTATGATGATATAAATAGATTGATCAATAATAATATGATGTTTTCATAAGAAAAAAAAAGTAAAGAATGAATTTTATGAAACAAATGAAACATTTATAACAGATATTTATATCAAATCAGAGTATGATTTTGTCAAGCACATGTCACTGCAGCGTTTCTAACGTTAAGTTTCTCAAGCAGAAGCAAAGTACTCAAGGTACTTACGATTTTTGAAAAATACTGTGTTTTGCACTTTGTGGAAAAAAACAAGATACTCTAAGGGTACTTTGTAAAATAAAAATACACTGTGCTAAATTGTCATCATTGTTTAAATTTGCTCGCCTTCCTTTTATGTATGTGTGTTTTATTTCTAGATGGAGCTAAGAACTTTTTTTTAATCAAATCTAATCGAATATGATTAGTATATCTATTTGATTTCTCTTTTTGGATTTTGATATTGTTTTATATAGATCTTCTTCAGTTGTTGTTAGTGAATAATTATTTTTATTCGATATATTGATCAAGTTTAACGATTTATTTGATATTATACTATCTTCTACATTTTGTTCTTGTTGAATATTTATTTCTTATTCAATATATTCATCAAGTTTATCAACCTATTCAATATTCATACCATATTGTTTTGTTCTTGGCGAATCTTATTAAATAGTAACTTTTTATCCAATACGTTCATTCATTTCAACGATTCGTTTGATACTTTACTATCTTTTACCATTGTTCTTGTTGAAAACTTATTTCTTGTTCAATATTCTCATCAAGTTTATCAATCCATTTGATATTATACAAGAAAATATTGAGTAATATCTAGATCATTTTTCTTTCCTCTAGTTTTGCAAAGATCATGTCATATTTATGTTGAAACAAATAAATCTTGAAAAATTATTTGCTACAACATCATTGATATCAGATGTTGAAAATGTTCAAGGCAAAGATATATTAAGTGTTCAGTTGTGTTTATCACATAACGAAGATAATAATAAAACTTCAAATGTAGAAAAAGAAATCCTTATTAATGAAACTGAAACTGAAATGGTAGTTGATTTATCGGATGAAAATGAAATGTATACATCATCAAATACGATTATAGATCATGATTTAAATGTGTATATATATTTTTTGTTTATTGATATTGTATTTTTTTACTTTGTTTTTTTTCAACAAGAACATTATTTGAATTAAAATATCTGATCAATAAAACCTTGTTTTCGTTTTTCTTGATTTCATTTTTAGCCCTGGTACTTTGCTATCTAGAGCAAAGTACTAGTAGATACTTTCTGAATAGAAATGAAGTACTCATTTGCATTCTGTTTTAGATTTGCATTAGAAACTCTGTTTCACTGAAACAAATTTTACAGTTATTTGTTATACGAAGTATGAGTAAAAAACTTATTGTTTTTTGTTTTTGTATTATATATTAGTCATAAAAATTTTAGGTGTCGGTATGGATGGACCGAAAATGTTCAATCTTTTCATGGATTCGTCTGCTTCAAAGCGTAGTGGCTCATCAAAATCAGCCAATAATATTGACTATTTTCCATAAAACCCCTTTTCTCCTGAAAAAAAAGAAAAAAGAGACAGAGTGGATTGTCATGCATTTCTATTCTTTTTTTTTTCGCTTATCTCCTACTTTCGACTTCTGTAGAGCAAGTACAATGTGTACATTGGATCGATTTAAGTTATGATTTTTGTATCGGTTTTCAAAGAGTTTTATTTTGTGAACTTACGATGTAATCATTGGTGTCTGATGAAGTATTTTCTTAAAATTAACATGAGAATCAATGCAAGATAAAAAAAACACATTTCTTGAAAAAAAAACTGCATCAGAAGACTCTCAGTGCATGGCTTCGTAATTCATTCAAAACCATATAATTCCTATAGCCAAGTATGGATGAAGAGAATATAAGATAGAATTAAGTTTTATGGTTTTTTGTATTTATTTTTAATTAGCGTAAAACTTTATTTAACAGTGCATATGAGAGAATGTAACATCAAATCAATTCATTATTCCAATGTTTTTACAATAATTTTCCAGGAGAAAATTATGAACATTCGGGAAAAAGTACGTGAAATATTTGCTCAACTTTAAATGTTAGACAGCTCAATGGACTAACTATTAAGCATATACATGAATAAAAGAAGAGTTTTCTGAATTTCGATGTTACTTGGTGAGATTAATATTTGTCAAATGATACTTACTAAGGTATTATTAGTGAGTATGAGTTAACACAATACTCACAGCCTGGGCCGGCTCATTTTCACATTTCTTATATTTAAATTGTCAGACTTTTTGGTATTCGATTATTGATTTTCATAAGTGAAAATGGACGAGTTTTCCACTACAGCGTGGTATTAAAAATGCTTTGAAAAATGGATTGAATCAATCTTTTCCTCACTATAAACTGATCGCAATTTTTATGATCATCTGAGCCTTTGTCTTCAAGCATGTTTTGAAAAAAAATGTAATAGTTCTATAGTGAACCAAATAATAATTTAAACTACATTTTGACAGAATTCGAGGCAAGATGATTGGGAAAGTATGAACTTCAAAGCTCCTATAAAAAAAGCATCTTTCATTCTAATTTATCTTATACAGACCGATGACGTCGAATATCGCTTTTAATCCAATGGGGAAAACTTCAATTCAATGTCTTTGACGAAAGCAAGTTATTCACAAAATATTGTAACCTATCTTTTATTTATCAATAAGGATATTGGCTGATTATATGTGTGCTTGCGTCAATGTTCATGAGAGATGTGTCAGAAATAAATGAGTTGTACCGTTGGGACTTTCCAAGGTAAATATTTGTCTTTCTTCGACATTACTAAAGTAAAAAAAGACATTATTTCAAATAAGGGACTTTTTCTTTTCCTATCCAACCATAATTTTTATTACGAAAGAGAATAATATGAGTCATTTAGTGAGTAACATTTGAAATAACAGTCAAAGAACGAATGCAAAATTGCACAACAAGTTACTATGAAGACAGACGCGTGTCTTTTCATCAAACAAAAAAGCATGTGATGCGACGTTTTGGTTTTCTATTACGAAAAAAAGAAAGATGAAGTTGGAATATTTAGCTAATGAAGTATTACATGACCTATTCGAATATTTCGATCCCATTGAACTCATCCATGCTTTTGAAGGACTCAATACTCGTTTCAATAGACTTCTCTTCATTTATTTTCGATCGTATCGTCTAGATTTTCGTTCTATATCAAAATCAAATTTTGATCTTATATGTAAACAATATTTACCATTAATTATTGATCATGTTAGTTCACTGTGTCTATCCGATGGTGGAGAAACTCCACAATTATATGAACATCTTACAGCTTATTGTCTTACAATCGATGAATTTACTCATTTACGATCACTTTTACTTCAAAAAATTGATTCAGCAAATATAATTCTTAATATTACATCAGATTGTTTTTATCTTCCATATCTTACTCATTTAAAGATCGTCGAATGCAATTTTACTAATGAAAAGGATCCCAAACAACTAATTTATAATATTTGGCATTTAAATAACCTCACACATTGTACATTGGATATGACTTTTGAATGGCGACTTAGTTTTTGTGGATTATCAATAATATCAAAGTCTATTGAATATTTGTCGATAAAAGATTATATTTTTTCTTCATTGGAACTTACTCATCTACTAAGTTTGACACCATTTCTTCGACATCTTTGCATTACATTTGGAGAAAGTATTGATATTAAATCACAACGTATTCTTATTGCTCCATACCTCACTAGTCTAGAACTTCATTTCGGTGGTTCACTATCTACTTTGACAAATATTTTGAAAAGCATGCCTAATTTACTACATTTAAAACTTGAAACAGGATCGATTCATTTGAATGGAAATCAATGGAAACAAATCTTAATTAATTATGTACCTAAAATTAAAATATTTCGATTTCTCATTAGAGTTTTATCGTTGAAAGATAATCATGTAGAAGAATATCTTGAAGATTTGTTGAGTACTTTTCAAACTCCGTTTTGGATGGATGATCATCAATGGTATGTTCGATGTGATTGGCCACAACATACTAATAAAATATTCGTTCTTTATACCTTACCCTATTGTTTTGGTGATACTTATGTTGTTTATCAGAATCGATGGTCGAAAACAACTTGTCCTAATGTTCGCGATTGTAATTGTTATGATCGAGTAAAGGATGTATTTTATAAAGGACGTATAGATAATTTTGTTTTGTTTGCTATATGTTATCCGAAAATCCGTCGACTAACTTTGAAACTGCCTTTCGATGTTAATTTTTGGACTATTATTCCAAGATTAGATAATTTGACTTCGTTAGAAGTAATTCAAACACAAGAAAATATTCGTTCCGAATCTCAACTGAAAGAGTTACTCAATCGAGCGCCTCGTCTAGATTTTCTAAGTGTTGATGCGATATCATTTTTGCTATTGGCACAATTAAATATAACTCATGTATCACTTCGTCGAATTCAACTGAAACCTTACCGTTCTAGAACGAATCGCTATTTGAATGCTGCACAATGTTCTATATTGGCTCGTTCATTACTAGGACTTCAATGTGAAGTTCTTGTAATTCGTATTGAAAATCGACAAATTATCCTTGATCTTATACATACGATGTACAATCTTCGAGCATTGACTTTCGAATGTCAAGATGACAATTCATTAGTGCATTCGAACGATGAACTTGTAGAATGGTTGAGAAATTCTTTGCCAGAAACATATTCAGTTACCCGACATAGATCTCGTCTCGTAGGGATATGGATTAATAGATAAACAAATAAACAGATTTCTTACTGAACAGAAGAATATCATTGTTTTTAATCTTTATCGTGCAATACACTTAATCGTTGTGGATTAGACAAAATGAACACTAGCTATTTTTTCTTTTGTCATGTAATGCGACTACTCTCAAGTACTATCTATAAAAAAAAATATAGAAATTCACCCAGACATGAGAAGTAAAGTTCTAAGGAACTTCGATAATTACTCATATATCATAAAGAACTTTCCAAGTAATTTTGAAAATTCGGCCGTGGATGTGTGAGTGCCGAGGTGAGATATAGGTGTGGATGCGGATGTGGGTGTGAGTTTTGTTCACTTCTTCAACAATACATTCACACCCAGCCACACTCACATCCATATCCATACCCATATAAATTTATACTCACCATACCTATTTCAGATGCAATACTTCTGCCAAGATGTAAATGATCATGTTTTCATTTATCTCACACAGATTCTTTGACATGTATTATAAACAACGAACAATCACTCAAAACACGAAAAGAAAAACAAAGAAGACGTCGAAGATTATGACATTTGTTTTATTTAGAAAGATGAAGTTTTCTCGTACACACAAAGCATTATTCGATCACGACGACAGCTGATCCAAGTACGTCCATCTTCGGCTTGATCCCAAGTCCTGGTGCAGTCGACGCCGCTATACGCCCATTCACTCGTCTCGGCGCACCGTCGGCAGTGCTGACAGTGACATAGCTATTGAAGTCCGTCGTGGTGAACAAGAATTCTGGAGGCGTACTATGGGCGAGATGAGCAATCGCGCTCGTGATGATGTCAGAACCCCATGAGTCTTCTAAGGTCATCGCAATACCCATACTGATGCATAAATCTCTGGCTTGCCGAGTCTTGGTCAGTCCACCAAGCTTGCTGATTTTCAAGTTGACCACATCCATGGCCAAGTCTGCCTTGGCACGCAACAAGATTTGCAGGTCGTCGATATTTTCATCGAGCACGAACGGATGCTCACACTGCCGGCGGACCGCAAGGCATTCCTCATAGGTGAGACAAGGTTGCTCGATGTAGACGTCAATGTCACGCACAGCCTTGGCCACACGCACTGCGTCATGTTGCAACCAACCCGTGTTGGCATCAGCAACAAGACGCTCTCCAGGTTGCATCTCAGCAGCAACCGCACGTATCCGAGCGATGTCTACGTCGGGATCACCACCTACCTTCAACTGAAAGCGGTGATATCCCTCCGAACGATACATTGCCACTTTCTGAGCCATTTGCTCGGGAGATTCTTGCGAGATAGCACGATAGAGGGGTACATCATCACCGTATCGACCACCCATCAAAACACAAACAGGCTGACCGGTCGCTTGTCCAAGAATGTCCCAACAGGCAATGTCAATCCCACTCTTGACGTATGGATGCCCCTTCAGGACGGCATCCATTTTCCGATTGAGTTTTCCAAGCTGAAGCGGATCTTCGCCAATCAAATGTGGTCCAAGCTCGCGAAGTCCCGCACGTACACCATCCGCATAGGCCGGAAGATAGAATGGACCGAGAGGGCAGACCTCCCCGAATCCAACGATACCAGTATCAGTTGCCACTTGGATAACAGTGCTGTCAAAGATAGTAACAGACTTTCCTCCGCTCCATTTGTAAGTAGTCTCATGCAGAGGAAGTTCAACACGATATGCGCTGATGCTCTTGATTTTCATGATATTCGTGGAGGTGAAGTTTCTACAACAAGCAATAAGGAAAAAGAAAAAAAAGAGAGCATCAGCCATCAAAAATATTGTTGCAGATTGGAAGGGTGTGGGTGTGGGTAAGTATCGATTTCAACTACATCGACACTCTGGTTTTTAAATCATATTGCATTGCTAAGTATCAATATCACTGTGGAAGGAACCAATGTTCACGAATACATTCAAATATAGACGTAACTATCGAGAGTATGGATGTTGCTAACTTCCCTGCTTCTGAAAATTTCAGCTTTTTTTGAGCAACAAAACAGAAAAATGTGTTGTTTTCCAACGGTGTAATAGTTCGATGCCTACGAATGGAGACATTACACCCACCCCTTCTGCTTTTGAACTCTTAAGAGCTAACATATTCCCTGCTTCGGAGGTCTCACTACGTCCCTGTTCAAATACACACATTTTCTGAAAAATACTACATCAACTCATTTCTCTCTTTGAGACAACGAATCACAGCTAGATACCTATCTCATTGGTTTCGCAACAGAACAAAAACACTGGCTTGCAGTAAATGAGCGGCTACCTGCCTAGATAAGACAATGATATATTTTTATCTCATCTTATCTATTTTTCTATTTTATCGTATAGATTCGCTGCATACAGCTGGAGAGACAATTATGTTAACTGCATTTTATTTGCATATGTCGTGCCGAAGTTAAGGTGTGAGTATGGGACATGTGGGTTTGGTTGTGTTGAATGTTGGTTTGAATGTGACGGTGTGTACAAATCTTCTCTTCGTTCGGATCCACAAGTCACACTCACACCCACACCCACACACTTCGACCAACCTGCCACAGTAACATTTCTGTATGTTTGATGACATTGCAAATAAAAGTAATTTAGTAACCAGCTCTCTTCGAGGGAGACAAGAGCAGAGGCTTCGATCTTGAAGCATTGGACCGCAGATATCTATCGTGGCTGAGAATCTGCTGCAGTTGTGTCGTGGTGATAGAAATCAACATCTAACCTATCGCAATGATCTATACAAAAAAGTTGCGACTGTCACGCCACTATCGCAATGGTATTTAAAAACATGTTTCGAAATTTACTGTTGTGATTCTATTTAATTATGACTTGTTTTATTCAATAAACAAGAACATGCGCTTAATGTCATGTCATAAAAACCGTTATCAGTTTTCTTCATGTTCAACATCATCATGCATGTACATACAGAAACTGAAGCCTTTTTGAAAGGTTGTAAGTGCAGGTACACACCTGATTAGAACAAATGAAACAGAGAATTTTTAAGTGTCTAACAACCGTAATTTCAATGAATTAAAGTGTATACCTAAATAGTTGATATCATATCAAATAATGAACAAAAGATCAACCTCTGGTAATGAGTAATATCATATCTACCATTGGTAAAATACATTGGAAAATGACAAAAAATCGTTTTATTCAATATAAATGATAGAATAACATCGCATAATGATGAATTATTCTTCTGTCTTAGATCAAACTAAAAGTTGACTGATATTAAGATTCTTCTAGTATGATTGCTTTGCATGTATATACTTAGGGCATACCAAAAGTAGTGACAGTGACACTTTATTCCCTCATGGTACGCTTAAAGAAACTTTCTTTCTATATAGTCTGATAGAGAAAAAAAGCTCTATCTTTCTATGCTATTGGATTATACTTCAACTAATATCATAATATTAAATTATCTACAAAACTCATGTCGCCACCATATATGCTAGTTGTACTCGATCATAATTTATTTTTCAATAGTATCATCTTTTTATTATCCTCTTTATTCTTTTCAAGTTTTTATTTCATCAAGTGTTCGAAGTAATCGCCGTTCTTATCCACACATAATTGCATCCGTTGAATCCATTTATCGAATGTTTTTCTATATTCTTCTTTGTTTAAAGAGTTTATGAAGTTGGATACAGCACGATACAACGATTCTGAATTGTTTTGATCGGTCAGATTTTGTTTGATCAAGTCGAATAACCAAAAAACACATGATGATAAATCAGCGAAATTAAGTACGTATGGAATTATTGTAATACCTTCAGATTCGAGATAATTCGACACATCTTGATGAATATGTGATCGCCCGTTATCATGATGACGTTTACTACCTTGAACCCCACATGAAGATGTTTGCTTCCTGATGTTTTAATGAGTGGTTTTAAACAATAATCAGTGTAATATTGATGGTCGATAGTTTCCTCGCGTTTCACATTATGAATTAAAACAGGATCAGTTGATTTAAAGTAGATGCTAAATAAGGTTTTCGAAGAAAAATGACTACGTCGAATCACTGTAGAGGGCGGATCACTTCTTGTAACCCATGCAGAATTTGATGATTTTCGACCAATCTGTGTGTGTCAGAACCAAGACGCGTCACCTGTTGCCACATCACATAGTCGTCATGCACCTGATTCGAATTTTGCTAGACTTTCTTTGCATATTCAAACTCACTCAGCTAGTTGAGAATCAGACAGGTGCTTGAGTATATAACGAGCGGTAATTTTTCTAAGGTTCAAATGATCGGAGACTATTCGTTAACTAGTGCCATGACTGAGATCCGTTTGTGCTTGCAGTTCTTCCACTGTAATATAAGGTTCATCATTGATAATGCTGTGGACTTGTTCAATATTTTTAGATGTGGCCTCGGTAATAGGTCTTCCAGGTCGTGTCTCGTCTTCAATCTCTTCTCGGCCTTCACGAAACCATTTAGACCATCTTGCAACAGTTCTAAAAGAAAGAGATTCATCGTCGAAAACAGTATGTAATTCATCATGAATAATTGTTGGTTGAATATTAAGTGCAGTACGCACTTTGAGGTAAAATCGAAAAATTTCCTTATCCATCTGAAACAGAGACGAACAATGTTAACATACACATTAAGCTAAAGAAACATGCGTCCCTCGCTACATATTTACATACATATTGATGACTAAGTGTCAGAGAGGACGAGAAAACAAAAAAGAAAGAGAGAAGAAGAATAAAGAGGATAATAAGAAAGTGATACTATTGAAAAATAAATTATGATCGAGTATAACTAGCATATATATGGTGCCGACATGGATTTTATAGATAATTTGATATTATGATATTAGTTGAAGTATGATCCAATAGCATAGAAAGATAGAGCTTTTTTTCTCTATCAGACTATATAGAAAGAAAGTTTCTTTAAGCGTACTATGAGGGAATAAAGTGTCACTGTCACTACTTTTGGTATGCCCTGAGTACATTAGTATGTCTTTTATTTTTATCATATATATTGCAAATTTTTCTTTTCAATATTTTTAGATGAAGTTTGTTGAGTAATGAAAAATTTAGCTAAGTCACTTTTTGAAATCAATTTTTCCAATAGAGATCATACAGAAAGAACATTCGAGAACACGAGTGTCTTACTTCAAGTAGGCGAATTTTTTTTCTATGAAACCGAAGTCAAATTCGTCACAATTGATTATTTCTCACATTAGACAAAAAACACGCAAAATGTAAATTTCCTTGATTAAAAAGAATTAAACGTCTTTCCATATGTACGACTATTTTTTCTTATAAACATATCATTATAATGAACAGTATTCATAAAAGCAAAAGTGTACGTAAAATTTTGACCACAGTGATGCTTGAGAATAAAATAATGTTCAATATTTAATCGAACCAATATTTGACAAAAGCTTTATGATGAGTGAAAAGAAACAGATCAGTTGGAAAAATAACTTAGTCTGTTGAGAATATATAAACAATGGAAAGATGATGGATTCTTTACAAGAATTTTCAACTATTTGGTACTATTTAAGCAGTCGATATATCTTACATATGGTTAATTCAATCGGAGTTTATCAGCCAGGAACACACTGAATCAACCTCAAGAATCATTGAACGAAGAACTGTTTAGATTCGTAGTACTTGTCATGTCATTTGTGGATGGTCACATATGATAAATACTATCGATTTTGGAAATCAAGAATTAATACAATATGATACAAAATGATTTCGTCTATGGCGCCATGATCCTGCTCAAAAAAAGGAAAAATGTTAGCATCACATGCGAAAGAATATTGTGAAGCATGTCGGCATTGTTTATGTTTCACCTAAAAAAACAGACAGATATTAAAGTGTATCTTAAACTGCTATTTTCAGATCTATTCATATTTTTCTTCTACTTCCGTGCGGCTACAACATATACAAATACTATTTAAAAAGTAACATAAATTCTTTTTTTCGTACACATCTATTCTTCTGTTTTTGTACAACATGGTTTATTTATTTTTACCAGTATTTTTTCAGTTTACTGTATTTTAGCAAAACTTTAGTATTTTTTTGTTATATGATTGAATTACACATTGATTATTCATATCGAACTGAATAGTTTTAATTTTAATTGCTTTTGCTTGTTGGACAAAAATTAAATAAACTTCGAAAATTAGCTAAAAAAACAAACCTATTCAACAAATCAATTTTTCCAGATTTCAAATTTTATACTGTGTTGATCTTGAGAATGACGCATCGTCAGATGCTTGTTGAAATTTCTATGCAATATAAGTTTTTTTCAATCTTTGATATGATATTTCGTTCTTTCATTGTCATGTCTACCTGTTTCAAATATAACGATCTCTCACACATATTCATTTATTATTAAAACAAATAATTCTTTATTGTATTAAAGTTAAAAAAAAACTTATCTTCGATGCTATGAATAACGAATTCGATTTATTAATCTATGAGATCATGCGTGCAACTAGATACATTATTCAGCTATGTTCTTTGACAATGATGAAAGCTTGAGCATCGGCTTCTTTTTTTCACAAGTTCTCATTTATGAATATTCGTTATCAACAAGATCAAAATAAATAAGAAAACACAAAAGAAACAAAATTTTGAAATACCCACGCCGGTTTCTTATTCACAAATAAGATCAGCATTTGTCTTACCTATACTTACTATTTCTATATAATAATGTGATTATAAGTGAATAGTTATAGGGACTCGAACCCGGAATCTTCGGATGACTCTCGTCATATTAAATTTAGGAGTCCGATGCCTTATCCATTAGGCCACGTGAGCTTGTCTCTTAGGGCTTCCACTATAGACTCAAATAGAATTCATCTTTCTATCCAATTAATGAAATACAGTAAAACTTCTCTAATGTGAACACCGTCGGGCCCAACCAAAATCGTTCAGATTAACAGGGCGATCACTTAAGAGGGTTCCAGCAAAAAGAAATCAATACGTAAATTCCAGTACTCGTTACATCTTTTCGAGTATTTTTTATTTGATTCACTAGTTTTTTTTACTATTTTCAAGAGATTACATATTATTATGCTTTAAAATTGCCTGATTGTTCACCAAGTTCTTCAGCAACTTTTCTTGCATATTCTTGTAATAATGAAACAGATATAGGAATATTTTTGTTCTTTGTGCAACAAACCATTCATAAACAGTATCATTAATTGTTTGACTAAAATCATCTTTCAGCTTTCGTTTCCTTTTTTTTGTTTTGATTTGTTTCATAATCATTAATATATTCGTTTTTTTTCTTTTGAGAATGTTTGAAACAGCACCGAGAGACTCTTGGAACTTGTCTTTTATTTCACGATGAGATAAGCCACGTTCTTTTTCTTTGATGAGATTTATCTTTTGTTCTAGATCAAGTTTATTTCGCGATGTCATAGCTAATATTAAGATGTAATGCAGCTAACAAAAATCATAAATAACATTTTTTCTTTTTTTCTCTGTTCTCTCTGTTGAATTACGGATTCAATGGGATGAGCAATAATAGCCTCCGTATAACTATAAAAATGATTTAATTACATATCACCCTCTATTTTTGTTCATAATAATGACAGTGAGATATAGAGTCGGAACCAGAAAAAAGCGTTCACATTCTGAATGACGGGGTGATCATATAGGAGGGGGCAAAAGCCAGCAAAATTCGCTCGGTGGGACTGGAGGGTGTTCGGTATAACAGGTTGATCACACAAGAGGGGTGTTCACTAACAGAAGTTTTATTGTATATCTAATTAGTATCCTTCATTTCTGAAGGCTTCAATCCTCTAGCTATAACTAATGGTGAAATATATGGACAAAATTAAAATGCATAAAAGGGTGTTCCATAATAACTGGGAATAAATTGTTAATGATATTTTTCATACTAGATATAGAGACCTAGAAATTTTATTTACATATATATCTAATTAAAGGTATTTAATTTCTGAAATTTTCAGCTCTGTAGCTATAACTACCGGTAAAAAACATTGACAAGATTGAAATAGACAAAGTCTCGTACTTGTTTTTTGCATTTTATTGTGACAGCGAAAATAATTGAAAAATCAAGTACGAAAATTCAAGTATTTCAATCTTATCGATGTATCCCACCGCTACTTATAGATAGAGAATCGAAACTTTCACAAATAAAAGATATTGATTGGATTCATATATGACAAAAATTTCGGCTCTCTACATCGAGTATAAAAACATCATTAACAATGCATCATTAGTTATTATACGGCACCCTTCATGTTCCCTGCGTGACAGTTGAACCTCGCATCATCTGCTTATGGGACGAATGCACTAGTATTATGCAATAAAGAAATGTTCCTCTGGTTCGTCTCACATCATCACTTCATGTATATAACCAAACAACATCGAACTTTACCAACATTATCAGACCATTTTTCTGTTATTTTTAATCGAGCACGAAGAAAAATTTCTCAAAGCATTCTCATACGAAATAGGGTGAGCAGTTATGACTTAGTTCCAATTTTGTGATACTTTCTTTTCATTAAGCAAAACAATCTTTCCAATTTGAGAACTGTCAAATAAATTTTTGATGATTCAATATCATATCTTAAATCTTAGATATTTGAAGAAAGCCATCGAAATACATAAAAATTTTTAAATGTTCTACTTGAATCAACACAAAATTGGCGGGTAAAACGTTTTTGCAACTTAATTCTAGAACTCGATATGAAAAGAAAACAATGGCATAATCTTCAATTTGATCAATCTACAATTTCATGCATTTTCATTTTGGGTTTTCAAGGAAAATAAAGCTCAATCAGTTTTTTATTGAAAATTTATGTGAACAATAATTGCTAATATTTCTTGATTATAATTTTGTGTCTTCAATGCATATAAATAACAATCATTAAAATATCTACAGAATGTCAATACGAATGGACATCAACACGTCGCAGATCAATATTTCAAGCTGAAATATCTGAAATCAATACATACGATGTTTTATTTGTATATATATATTTAAACAAAAATGTCACAAAATTTGTCGTAGAAATCTTTAACCATTATGATATCTTAGTAAGACGATTCGTATTAGGAAAAATGTATGTCGAGTCTTAATTGAGAAGTTTCATTCGATGGATACTTTCATTAAACTGATCTTCAGAAAAAAGAATATATACAATTTGCAAATGATATGAAAGATTATCATCGACATTGATGTTGAATTAGCCAATACAGAGTTTATCATAGTTCATATTTGTAATATCAACCAAAAAGATCAAAGAAGCTTCTGTGAACAATTTTTTTAAGACTCACCAGTATTGAAATGTAAAGATAATATAGTCATTTTCTAAATTTTTATAATAATATTTTTGAATCAAGATAATTAAGTTTTTTATTATTTTAATTTTTGAATCTGTTATAATAGATGCATAGAAAATTCGACTTAAAAATCATATTCATAATGTTTTTTTTTGATTATCAAATAAAATTAGTGTATGTTTTTATTTCTGATTTATTTATTGTTAAATTTTTTTTAATAAAATTTTATCGTATATTTTTTTTTTGTGTTCTATCGGCTGTTTTTGTCAATGAGTCACTGAACAGTTACCAGCGGTTTGACGTTATGTAGCATGCATGACCTCATGGTATAGCGCAAACGTAAAGAAACAAAAAGAAAGAGAAAACACCCAACGATAAGTTTCGATTCTACAACTGATACAAATCTAATTACTGTTCATGACAAATAAATGAAAATTAATTTAAACAAAAAATCTAATTGATATCAATTAATCGTTTTTCATTTAACTACTTTTTGGTCTCATGAATTGAATCAAAATCCATCACTGTAAACGCGAGCTCAAACGTATTTTACTTCGCTAATGGTGGTCTTTGGTTTACGTATTTTTTTTTGTTCACTTTATAGAACTTTGTTTTTTTTTTCGTTCTTTATTATAAAGATGAGTCACTTCAATGAATTTCAACATTACTTCGGAATTTTCCGAGTCAATAGCTGAAGTCAAATAAAAAATGGACAAATTGATATCGACAATATATTCATCAACTTGTTGAGCAAAAGTGAAAAGAAAAGAATATCATTCTCTTTCGTGTACATTTGTAGATAAGATTATTTTTTCTTTATGTACATCCAATCATGATCAAAGGAACATATAGGATAAAATTGTTTGTAACTTTTATTGCATCATTCAGCCTACGTCACTAGAAGATTCTAGCACAAAAGTTTAGCTGGATGATTTCTCAGAGAAAAAAATAATACTGCGAAAAAGACCCATTGAATTATTCACTTACATTGGTTTATACCAAATGGCTATGACTTTTTTTTCAATTCTTTACACACCTTTAATTTCCATTTCATCAAAATCATTTCAAATATACACATACTTATTTAATTATTTTCAAAGTGTGATAAATTAAATGTCAGAAGCCAAATAATTAGTCAATTAATTTCTAATGTTTCGTGAAGAATCGAATTGATTATTATCTTATTTGTTAATGCACACTTTTTCCATTGCATATAGACTTGGTTTTTTTTCTTCCTTATGACGTCGTTAGATGGAAATACTTCTACATAACACATTACTCATCATATCATTTTCTTCCTATATAAGCCAATACCACAAGCATTCACATTTACTTTTAGATTTTCAACGAACAAAGATAAGTACACGCATCCAGCTTCATCTGATAATACTAGAAACTATTATGAGTAGAACAATACATACATACAATAATGATCAGGGTTTAATTGAATCAATGGTTGATGATGATCAACATAAAGAAAATTTATTTTCTAAACAGAAAAATACAATCGATGATAATAATGGTGATGATTCAGGTACAGAAGGAATCGAACAACAACTCGAACATACTTCTATAACAAAATTTAATGATAATGAAGATAAATTATCAATACAATCTGTTAGTCCGAATCCTGATGAAGGTTTTTCCGAATGTGAAATTCAAGATAAATCAATACATATACTTATTAAAAACGATCGTAAGTTTGGAAAAAAAATTTTTCTTTTTTGCTTTCCTATCATCATGAGTCAGCGAAAATTTGTTACATCATAATACTAAATATTGTTTTGTTTTTTTTTAATTTTTTTTTTCAGTTAAACTTGCAAACAATATCCCTAATGATATGAAAAAAGATTTTTGTTCGGATACTAAGGTAGCATTTCATGGTGAATTTGCTCGACTTATTTCAATACCATTATTATCATGTCACAATATTCATTATAGACTTTTTTCTGAAGAAGAATTCGTCAACATACCACAATATATGAATTTAAAATTTGAATGTTGCAAACTTGACAATGCTAAAGCACGATTTAATTGTCCAAATGTACGCTGTCAACATTCCTGGACATCAATGAGAGGAAGAATTTCATTTTTAATTAGTTCACAAGATATTGGATTTATTGTACTTAAAATTCTTGGACAAAATTGTCTACATTGTAATACATATGTTCATGCTCTTTGGTATATTGGTATGTCTTTTATTTTTATTATATTATTTTGCAAATTTTTCTTTTCAATATTTTTAGATGAAGTTTGTCGAGTAATGAAAAATTTAGCTATGACAATTTTTGAAATCTATTTTCCCGATATGATGAACAACGTCGATTTCGAAAAGCAAAAATTCATACAAAATGATACAATCCAATTCCGTCAATTACATCATGATCCTATTCAAAGAAAAGGAAAAATGTTGGCATCACATGCTAAAGAATTTTGTGAAGCATGTCAACGGGGATTATGCTTTACTTAAAAACATTAATGAACAGATACTAACTTGTACATAAACATGTTATTTTTTAGGTGCAAAGACATTCTTTTTGTATTTTCATCTATCAGTGTATTTCCGTGTGACTAAGTTATATACAAGCGCTATTTAACAAGCAGTACATTTCTTTTTTTCTTTTTTATGCATCTAATGTTTTGTTTTTTTGTTTGTATGATTAGTATTTTGCGTATTTTTTTCTAACACGCTTCAGTGACAATGTCTATAAAAAAAAATGTATATGTATAAGTAGGAATTTTTATAATTTTCACATCTGTAATGGACATATGATTGGAAGAGCAAGTTCAATCATAATTAAAGGTAATACACAAAAAAAACTGCAAACAATGCAACAACAATACTAGCAACTGAAATAGGAAGACTAATATAAAATAATCTTGCTAAATGCCAAGCATCAGCTAAAACAAAAATTAAGATGAAACGTTTCTTAATGTAGCTATTTTTGCATAAGCTAGCAGATAATTTAGTAAAGAGTTTTTTTGTTGTAATGAAATATATTTTAACGTTAATAAAAATATCATTACCGATATACAATAAGAAAAAAAACATTGCTTCACTATTACAGATGTACATACTAGTACCTTAATTCTGCACTCATTACTTGTATAGAAACGTAAAGAGTTCGATATACTATAAGGTTTATTTGAAAATTGATTTTTAAAAATAATTTCTGTAATTTTCTTCGTATTTGTGTTCATATAGATTACATATGGAGATAAAATTTCGTTGTGTAATTAATTAAAAGACTTCTTTGGCTTTTTACTTTCTTCTAAACTTTCAGAAAGATTTTTATTAAAAAAAAAACAGCACATCTATAATTAAAGAAAACATACTTTAAAAAAAGAGTCTTAGTTTTCAAGCGATATCATACTTTTGAATTTCAAAACGAAACATTGTCTATGTGAAGAGATCGATTAGAATAGTTTCTGGGGAAAAAAAATTCAGAATTTTTTCTACCAACTATTCTAATCATTGCTTTTATGTAACTTGAATCACTCTAAATTATTTACTTACTCACTAGATTCTATCGATTGAATAAAGTGCCAGATCGAAACTGATTATGACTTAGGAACCTAACCTCGTAAGAATGCATTTCTTTTCGTCAAATAAAAACTATGCTAGTGGTACATTCCACTATGAACAACTGACTTAAATAAGTTTGTCAAAAAAACAATTCTGTTTCTTTTTTCAGCTATTTAGAAAACTAAACGTTACATGATAAAAATTATTCATCACTATGGTTAATGAAAAAAAAAAGACACAAATTAAATTAGCTATTGTCAATCGATTCGATCTACTTCGAAGGGTTTTTTTCATCATATTCATCAGTTACTTTTATAAAATAATATTAACTATTTTCTTTCTTTGCTTTTTCGTTTAGCCTTGTCAATTTTATAAATAATAAATGTTTAAATAATCAAATGATTGGGTCTCGTTTTCAAGCAATTAATTATTCGAATTTCAACATTATGATTTTTTTAATATAAGAAAAAATCGATTCAAATATATTTATTTCAAAAAGAAACAATACTATTTTATAATTTTAATTTAATTCTAACGCCATCTTTTCACTTAGTGATGAGTAACAAAGCATATTGCTACCTGTACTCTCTGAATGTTCGAAGGGAAAAAAAAAACAAGCTATCGTTTATTAATAATTTTTTTCACGATAGTTAGAAGATATGAATAATACGTATACAACTGATTTATTTCAATTAAAGTCGATTTATTTCATCAAAAATTCAAATGATTGGATTCAAAATAGTTATCATCACAATTACATTGTCGACTTGCTTCAAATACAATACAATAAGAGATGAAGAAAAATTTTTCAAGTCTAATCAACAAATAATTGCTAGTTATCTTCATCATCTAAAGAGTGTCTATATGAGTTAATAGTATAGGATAATATTATTTTTTTCGATTACAGATAATGTCAAGCATAAAACAAGACACATTAAACTTATAGATGAATGTCTTGATTTTATACGTTTTATTGTAAATAAACTATTTGATAAATGAACTTTAAATTTGACTCAATAAATATAAAATGTTATATGTTTTATTTTTAAGAATAAATATTTTTTTTTTTATTATATAAGATTTATTTTGATAGAGTCAATGTATCAGATGTAACTGATCCAATCATTCGTGTTAGTCTATGTCATAGGTATTCCAGGTATATTCATTTATCATTAGAAAAAAATTAAAGAAAAAAACAAATAACTGTTTATTGAATTGATATATAAAAAAATATTTTTTATTCTATTCAAGCAATCATTTGGATTTCGACTACGTTGAATATTTCTGTTCGATTTCTTAATCTATGAGAGCATACATGAAAACAAGTAAATTGTGGAATAATTTTCTTTGACAACGATTGAAGCTTGTGTATGTACATTTTTTTTTCTCAAAACTTCTCTTCTTTTAATGTTCATCATTAACAAGAGTAAAAATAAAAAGAACAAAACATAAAGAAACAAAAGGTTGGAACACCCACGCCGGGACTCGAACCCGGAATCTTCGGATGGCTCTCTTTAAAATAAACGTAGGAGTCCGATGCCTTAATCCATTAGGCCACGCGGGCTTCTCTCTCTCGTCAGTTTTTTAATGTAAACTTTGTGCAACTTCTAGTTATATACTCAATTAGTTCATTATTATTAAGAACATCATCAATATTATTAATAGTAAGAATAATACTTCAAAGTAAATTGTTATCAATGAGAAATTTCTAAAATTTTTAGGAAGAGGTTTAAATAAAAGTATTACATGTAAATATTTAAGAATAACTATAAATAGTCAAACTGAATATATTTTCTTCAATCTGATTATTTTTTAATTTATTGTTATTAGGAATATCTGTTGATGATTCATTGACATAATCTGAATCGGTTATTCATGTTAAGTAAAACATTGCAAACGTATTTCATGTGTTCACAGTGATACTTTTTTCATTGTAATATCACTTTTCTTCGATAGTGTGGAGAATGTTTATTGGAACTCGAACTGAACCGCTTTTTTCTTAGAGGATTTCTCGTGTAAGAAAACAGAAAAAAAATCTGATTTTAATCTTTCTTAATTGATTTAAAAAAAACAGTTTCAATCGACTAGAATTTATTAATCTATCAAAAAAAAAGATTTAAATCAATTGAAATACATCTTTAAAGCGGAAAAATTCAGACTTTAATCGATTTTATTCTGATTTTTCGTCCAAATTTGTTACATGGATTTTGCATCTCGTAATTGATAACAAACAACAAATTTTCTTTATGTGAACGTTTCGAAAGTTCCATTTAGCCAATAAATTAAAGGAGATCATTGATTCGGTTCAATAGCATTGCTCGTGTACATGAAATGATCTGACTGTTTGAAATTGATCAGCTTTTGTTTTATTTGTGAGACCTTATGTTAAAAAACCGATGGTCTTCAAGAAGTTGCACTACTCACAAACGCATCTTTGTCTTTCAGTTCAACAAGTAATTCGATTTACGTTTCATGCTATTTTTTTCTGCATTTAAATGATTCGACCTTATTGAATGCGTCATTACTATAATAATAAACTTTTACAATGCTCTAATCAATGACTACAGTGATTATGGAGTTCTGTCATTTCAAAAAATGGTCCGATTTTTCTTAAGTCATTAACTTTATTGAATACGATATTTATGGGTGTTCGAAAACGATTGACGGAACGAAAATTTTTTCATGATGCTTTTTCTGAGCATCATTGGGAAAGGCTTATAGGTTGAAGAATTGTTATGATATGTATATCTAAAAGAAAAAGATATTTTCTTTTTTCATAAGATTAGAATAACTATGTTTCAGTCTATAAGAAAATAGAACACATATGAAATCAATATCTCAAATTTTCTTCTCAATTCATATCATATTTATTCGGTTTTGATACATAACTCGGTGATCTTATACACGATTGTGATTACCTATTATGGTATAACCGTTTTCGTTTGTTTTGTATGTTCATAGATTTGTCGCAAAATGTTGCGCTATTACATAAAAAGATATCTAAAGTTTAATCCTTCAATCTCACACTTTGACAACAAATAGAGCATGTTGAACTCTGATCGGCCATTATGCGAAACAGTTAGAAGATCAAAATAGAAAACAAATCCCATGGCGCTAGACCTTCCATTTGATAGGTCAATGCTGGCACTACTATCAATACAAATGCCATGTCTATCGATTTTAGTTTACCTGATTTATGAAATATTCTTTGGGTAATCTTCACATGAGCGTTCATCGGAATCGTCGCGAGGTAATCGATGTGTCCAGATAATTTTAACTATTTAAAGCCTCTTTTCAATCCTAGAGAAACAACCAATGGTTTCGTCATACAGACAAAAGTATTAAAATTGATTTGATTTTTACTCAATAGCAGAATTTCTTGAGACTAGTGTCTTATTCATTATTTTATATTATGGATCAATTTATGTTCATTTATTACATGATTATTATGCACACTACTCGTTGCATGGATTTTTATGTTCACTACTCGTTGCATGGATTTTTATGTTCATCATTGTGAAACCATAAGTAATAATAATAAATATTGTAAACAAAAAAGAGTTATGTCCCAACCAAGTTAAACAAAAAGTTTTATTATTAGTTTTCTATATCAATATAGTTTTCTTTTGTTGTATTTTCTTATACTTGTCATTTATTCAATTTTATTCTCTCTGTATATGTAAGTCCTACATTAGTTAATGCAAATAACATTCTATTAATCTTATCTTGTTTGCTCTGAGATATCTAAATTTGAAACACTTCACAAGCATTAAGTATCTGGACGATTCAACAACAATTTATTCTAATTAGAATTTTTCGGAATATTGCAGTTATGATGAACAAATTTCATCATTGAAGTTCATCGTGAAATTTTTTTGTAGAATTTTTATTTTCATATTTATGAAAGTACATTTGTAGTCGAATTTAGCAAAAGAAATTTTAAT